GATCGTGTGAAGAGGAGTTGGAACAGTATGGACTTGCATGGATGCAGGTGAAAAGTACATCAGAATACAGAAGCAAGTGAAGACGTGTAGTTGAAGCCCTATGTTCCACTAGGAACCCAAGGGAAAAATAATAATAATAATAAATGAAGGCTTATATCTCCATCAAAGTTATCCACTCCTTGAATGACCCTAAAGCCAATATGAAATATAATTGGAACCAATTCGACAAGAGTTGGCAGTCCACATTATCAAGGGTTCTTTTTAATTTGTACAAGAAATGGACCAACTGAACATTTCAGGCAAACTTATCGTATCATACGATGTTTGTTTGCTGTTTACTAGAATACCCACTGAAGAGACAGTGAGAATCATATTCCAACAATCCGAACTACTTCCTCTTCCTGAGAAGGAGCTACAAAAATTACTACTTCTTTGTACAAAGAACGTTCAGCTTTGATTCAACGACCTGCTGTACCGGTAAATTGACAGTTCACTCTTCGGTTCTGTTCTTGCAGATTTATTCATAGCCCAATCTTAAACAGACATGAATGAAACCGGAAAAAGAGTGAACCACCTGTTACTGCAAGTATGTCGATGACACGTCTGTAGTTTGAAATAATATGGATCAGGTATCCATGATTTTCGAAAACCTCAATGCGATTCACCCTCACACAGCATATACAATGGATCATGAACGTGACAATCAGTTCCACTTCTCCCAGATCTCTACATAAAAAGAAAAGATGATGGGAGGATTCAAAAACCCATCTGCAGGAAAGAAACATAGATGTGTCAATACTTGAACTATCACAGCTTTTACCAGATAGGCTACAAAATCAGCCTGGTGAAAAAATAACCCTCTTCAGCACAACCAAGGTGTTATATTCAGAAAATAAGATTCAAGAGGAATTCGTAGTCATCAAAAACAACCTTATCGGAAATGCATAGCCTCAAAAGTTCACATCAAAATATTCGAAAGGAAAAATGCCAGTTTTTATTTGTCTAGTGTATGTTGAAGAAGAAGTATCCATATGAACGGAGAACAGAATTAAAAATGCATTGAAACGGACATTTCCCACGGCTAGACTCATTGCGCTTTACAGCACAGTATGCTGATTAATCCAGTCAGAAGCAGATAAGTTTCCCGTTCTGCATGTCAAAATTCCAACTGCATTTACCAATTCACTTTCACTTACGGTAGCAAGTAAATAGGGAGGAAAGTGTCTACTTTGTGCCCTGAGCAAATATGTAAACGTCTGTGTCTTACAGGCATCAAAGTGTTCTTGCTAGACTCACCTAGCTGACACTTTTGTTATCGTCAACAATGAAGAAAATCCAGACGACATCCTGAAGTCGTTTAACAATTGCCACCCTGTGATTCAGTTCACGCTGGAGAAAGTGTCCAACTCCAAAATATGCTTTCTTGACATCCAGCTAACGAGACGAGAACAAGATGGAACACTGAAAAGATCTATCTACAGAAAGTCGAACGAACAGCTTGCTAACTTTCACAGTTGGGCACCCCTATACACCGAACGAAAGGTGATCAGTTCACTCAGCTACAGAGTCAACAGAATTTGTATCCCGGACACCATAGAAGATGAACTGGACAATCTCAAGAGAATCCTCATCGAGACTTGCTATCCAGAAAGATTTATTGCAAAATCTATGAATCCTAGACCACAAAAGCCGCCCATGCTTAGCGTCCCGAAAAAAAAACTACTCTACATGAACATTCAATTCAATGGAGATATATCAGCGCAATTACTAAAAAATTGACTGTCGCGCTCACTTAAGAAGACTTTCTTCGCAGCTGAATTACGACTGACCTTCTCCACAAAACCTATGATTCATGTTAACGTGAAGGATAAGCTACCACTACTGGCCTCATCAATGTGTATCTGCCAAATTCACCTGCTCGTGTAGAGCCAGGTATGTCGGACGTACCTAGCGTTCGTTTTCCAAACGTATCACCGAACACTTACAAACTTGGTTGTACAACAGAGAAAATCGGTGCCCTCGCAGCTCTATCTTCGAACATCTGATTGATTTCGGACACCAAGCTTCACTCCAAACAAATTTCAAAGTTGTCTACAGAATACGAAGCAGTCCTCCTAAAAGTGGATGAATCAGAATTCTTCAAATTGCAGAAGCAATGGTAATTCACTTGCTAACTCCTCAACTCTGCATACAGAAGAAGTTCGTTCAATCACTGTCTGTCTGTCTGGATTCAACATAGAACTTGGCACCGAAGTGCAGCAGTTCGAGTTGCCACGTTCCAAATAGCACACAGAGGTAGACAAGGAGATGAGTGAAGAGAATCAATAGAGTTTGACAAGTATAAGAGTGAAACAGAATGGGTAATGGTAGAAAGAAATATGAAAGATTACAGAGACTGAATACATCTGCGCCATTGACAACGATTTTGAGCCATGTCACCTATTGTCTCCAGCCATTGATTCCTAGAGTCCCGAGGGCCCCAACCCGAAAGTCTGCATCTCCCTACCTGACTCAGTTTAACTGTCAAGGATTTCATGGATTGATGAGGCCATGTTTTTGTTTGGCCACCACTGGCTCTTTTCCAACCTGCACCTATATCAGCTAGCAATGCCCGTCGGGGGAGGCGGTGGTTAGGCATGCACAGCACGTGACCTAGCCATCTTAGTCTATGTAACTTTATAGCCTCGTCGATTGATTTCCCCTCTTCGCCCAACACTCTACGCCTAACGTCAACATTACTTACCTTATTAAACCACCTAACGTGAGACAGAGATCGCAGACATCTATGATCGAAAGCAGTCAACCTTTTCATGTCTTTAAAGCGTATTGGCCATGTTTCAGAGCCATAGAAAAGGACGGAGCGAACTGCTAAGCAGTACACACGTCCCTTGGTTGATAGCCGGATGTCACACCTACGCCAGAGATGGTGTAAGTCAGCGAGAGCAGCTGGAGCTTTTTGGATCCGTGCTGAGATTTCGTCGCCAATCAGTCCGTTGGTGCTGATACAACTTCCCAAATAGGTGAAGTGGTCAACATGTTCTATCACTTCACTCCCTATCACTAAGCTAGGAGTTGACTTAGTCCAGTCCTGTAGCAGCATCTTACATTTTGCAGGGCCGAGTCGCATGCCAAACATACGAAGATTGCTCCTCAAGGTGTTCAGAAGACTGCATTTTGTCAGCATCCTCCCCTAACAGGACTATGTCATCTGCATATTCTAAGTCCATAAGACTATTCCCTGGTAACAAGTCGATTCCCAAGTCGTTACGTTCAGTTAAGGATACTTCCATCAGCATATCTATGATGAAGTTAAACAGAAATGGGGAAAGTGGACATCCTTGTCGGACACCGCTGGTTGTTATCACTTCAGATGACAATTCCCCATAAGCCCTTACACGACTACGTGAGTTTGAATAGAGTGCCTTGATTAGTGCAATGTATTTTCTTGGAACTCCCTTCACAGTCAGACATTGCCATAGTACCTTTCGATCCACGGAGTCAAAGGCTGCCTTCAAGTCAAGAAATATGACAATTGTTGTTCAATCACTACACTTTCAACGGACGTAATCTATTTTAATACCCAGCAGGTAAATTCTATCTCTTTCTATCTGTCTCTTCATTAGTATTATTTCATGTATTCAATTGTAATATTTTACATTTTCAACTTTCCTGTTCTCTATCCTACACCTCATTACCACTGTCACTGACTTGACCAACACTCAATTTCCAGTCATTTATGTTACGTCATTCAATTTGTTTCGCTCAATTTTTGTCCTAATTTAGATAGAATTATTCTCTATTTCACTTCTACTTAGTCTCTACCTGTAATTACCTCTGTTGCTAACCTGACCTAAGTTAAAACATTTTAGTCAATTGTATTACGTCATCTAACTTACTAACTCAATCTTACTTTAGTTGCTGACTAATTAACCTTGTTTCTATATTAGATCATTCTTTTATTACCTGATCAATTATCTAAACTTGACACACACACACACAAACAAACAAATAGTTATATATGTATGCGACTGTACAGCTATGTGAATGAATTTGCCTTCGAAGAGAGTCTCTTCGCTGATGAACGTCTTCTCTTTTTCATATGACTCAATGGGGATTTTCAAGCTACACAATGAAAATTAATCAGGCTTTCAAAGTGATCAATGAATACACTAAGAAAAGCATGGTTACTTCGGTTTGCAGAGGTCATGGCCATCAAAAGGCTTCTCTCCAATCAATGCATACAGGAAGATAGTGTGAATAATCTCTCATTATCCTATCTGGCAACCGTAATTGTTCTATTCGTGTGCTGTGGGGATTTGTTCAGTTGAATTATATTTCTCTCAAACTTGATTTTGATATTCACTTACTGATTGTGTTGAATTCACTTTGAAGTTTCCAAATCTACAACGATTAATTATCTTATCTATTTTGTAATTTTACTTTCCTATTCACTCCACCATCACCCTCCTGAACTCTCCACCATAATATGTTTAAATTCCCTCTTTTGTTCCATCTTGTATTTTGTCTCTAGTCCATCATTGTTTCTAAGCGAAATCTTAACTCTAGCCTCTTGTCGAATTGTTATATAAATAGTTACTTTCTTTTAACACTACAAAATTTGACAACTTACATCATTTTTGGAACTAAATTGCCTATACTTTCTATTTGTAACTCGAAATCATTGTAAAAAGTATGTTCAGGCACCATTTTATTTAGGATGTATACAGTTGAAGAGAATCCACGAAAAAGACGAGCTCGTATTATTCTGAGAGTATTTTCGTTCTTTCTTTATTCAAAATATTTGCAAACCGTTTAGAAGATATGCATCACAAACCAAAGCATAATGAAAATTACAGTCACGAATTAATTCTTACTTAGCAAATGTACTACTCTGTATTTATTAAGTAGTCAATTTTGTGTTAGCAAATATTTAGGCGTTGCAAAACCCAAACTAATCAGCAAAAACTAAAGTAAGTAAATCTAAAATAAAGGGAACCTACCAATTATTAAAAATGCCTCTTCATAAATTAAACACTATATGACTACTGTTTAATACGGATCACACTCTGAGATATATTTCATCTGAGGTTTTTGTGATGCATTTGAATTACGCGTGTATATATCACTTGATCCAAGTGGTATTTTAGACTAATATAATATACAAGGACAAAAAGAAAATACCAATGATTGGTAGAACTAGATGTGTTTGTCATCTGTGTAAATTTTGCTAGCCTTGTAAAAATGGTTAATAATAATACCATCACTTGAATACCAATGAGATGCTCACTGGCGACTGGCCCTATTCAGGTAGGTAGTTACCTGGGTTCCAGTGGGAAGTCGTGACCAGTAGGGTGCAGCCGGTCGGGTGTGAGGACAAACACTCGCCGAAGACATTGGCTAGCGGTCGCGCTATGTTGTGAATCGGCAGAAGTTAGAATTCAAGGACCATTGGATCGGGTCCCAGTGGCTCAATGGTCTACGAGCTCGCCTTGTAACCAGAAGGTCCTGGGTTCGAATCCCGGTGGTTGCGTACTGATGAAGAGTCCCACACTAGGACGAAACAGCTGTCCATTACTCCCAGGTTTTCCAATGGTTCTCTAACTAATGTCAGCTCATGATGAAATCCTGAAACCAATCAAATCCCTACAAACCATCACTTGAATATGTTCTTAATCGATTTATTGGTCTATGTTATAGACTAAACTTGTTAATTCTCCAAGAATAGGAGTAATTTGTGGGGTTGTTATTTGTGTAGTAAAGGGAGTCCATCTTAAAAAAGTTACTTTAATTGCTGTTGCCTACAACCACAGTGTAATCAATGAGATATTCTTCGAAGTAATTATCTTCGCGTTTTCAATGAAAATTTTCAGAGACCTTCTGTCAATGTATTTGAAGATTGAACGATCAATTCATGGTTGTTTGCTCAAACCCAACTTCCCTATATTTCCGCGCAGACATCGATACACCAGTCATCTTCTCATCGGTCGCTGTTCAGAAGGAAGTCAGGCCAAAACTGTCAGAAGTAATATTGTGATTTATTATTGTATTATTTGTTCATAGACCTTAGTTAAAGCTTAATTTTAAAGTTGGCTCTATATTGGCTTTACAATAAAGAATTCTCGAGTAGCCAATCGGTGTTTTGGTTTTGCGTCCGTTATTACTAAGTGTTTTTCTGAGAAACTTCAAGGAACAGCGTGAGTCCCAGCGTAGCAAGAGCTGGGCATTGACGATTTACGAGACGTGGCTGACACCTTCCTCTAATTATTTGGTTAGTAGCCATAAGAATTTCTAAGAAATTACATTATGGATAAAATTCATTTTGACAAAGTCTCACAGAGTGTTATCCAGTAATATTGACTGATGACCACATTTCGAGTATAATTCACTGCCGCTCATAATAATATCAAGACACCACTCACAAAACTTTCCAACTTCGTTTACATGGTTCCACAACTTTCTCATCTCCTGATTTGATTAATAGTATTATTTTCTGTATTTTTGGTGTTGGTGGTGAGTCATTCCTAATGCGAATGTTATGTGTAGATTCTAGCCTATTCACACACACAAATAAACTCAATAGTAAAGGGAATAAAATTCACATTTCAGTGTGAAGATGAACAAAGAAAGTTAGCCATCTATTTTAGGTTGTAAAATAAAACGTAGAGAAGAAAGTAAACTCCACACTAGTGTTCATAAAAGGCTAACGCATGCTTTTTTTTCCTTCACGTTCCCAGCGGAATATAGGGCTTCAAACTAGTGGCTTGAACTTTCTGTAGCAGTGTTTAATTTTTACAGGATGGGGTTGCTAGCCTCATGCCCAACCTTTCCTCGTTACCAGGATTATTTCTGGCTCAGCAAAGTAAAGGAGTGCGTCGGTGGGGGATCGAACCTCGGACCATGTGCATGGTCAGCGAGCGTCCTAACCGCTGTGCATACGACGCACAAAACACCAAAGCATTCTACTAATAGATATTTAGACTTCAATTCATTTCATCTATCGACTTTTAAGGCAGGCTTAGCTTAGTGTCCAACAAACCGAGCAGTAGCACTAAGTAGCACAAAAAAGACCTAAATGATGAAATAAAAGAGATAGAAAGAGGAGCTTAGATATCATAGAGAAGATTTGTAGCTCAGGTGGATGATTTTGATGTGGTTTTGTTCTCTGAGCTGGATGGTTAGTTTGCGAAGCTTTCATCACCTTACTAGGTGACATCTTCAGCGCATACTTCAAATTGATTGATAACACTAATATTATTTCCGAACATACTTTATCTTGCATTGATTTTATTCAAATGTCTAGTCAATTTCACTCATGTATATAAATAAAGCGAGAAAGTTGTGTGAGTACTGTCTTGATATGATTATGAGTAGCAATAATTTGTGGTTAAAACATGGTCATTACTAAATACTACTTTACAACAGTATGTGACACTTTATCAAAACAAAATCTTATCCATAATGGAGTGAATTGTGTACTATTTTATCCATGAAGGTGAGCAGTAGAGTTTCTCAAAATGCCTTACACGATTTCTAGAATGTATCACCGGAAAATTCTCAGATCTCAGGTGTTGGTCCCCGACTTATTCTAAGAGACGAAACTTCAGCGTAATCAAAGGCTGTGATTAATTTTTGTATCCCAGGTAAACAACACAAGCGAAATATTCGCCAACTATTCAGAGGAAGCGTTACTTCCACTCGATCTTACATCACTAACTAAGTCTATGTAATGGAATTCACGGGGCCATTGGATTGGGTCCCAGAGGTTGGCTGAATGGTCTACGAGCTAACTCACTCGCTTTGTAACCAGAAGGTCTTGGGTCCGAACCCTGGCAAAGAGGTGGGTACGTACTGTTGAAGACTCCTAAACTAGACTGACAAAACTGCTGACCGTCTAGTACTCCAGTTAGCTAAATGAATATAAGGAATATTGTTCAAAGAAGCCGGGGTAAAGTTTATGCATAAATGGTAGCAATAAAAGTACGTATATATTACAATAATTAATTTTTATTCAAAACTCACTGGACCTGAGTATTTCCAAGCAGGTTCTCGAGGTAAATGTGATTTAGGATTTCGTTGACGTTGAAGCTAAAAGGGATTTACAGCTATTTATGAGAGAAAACATTTTTATGTGGTGGAATCAATTAAAACAATCAGATAGAACTGTTATTTAAAAGAATCAGTTCCCCTTATGAATTTAGTTAGACAAAGTAATAAGAAGATGTCATTTGTCTGAATCGTGTATTGTGCATTTGCCCAACACATTTTGAACAATCTGATCACACACACACACACAGACTTGTCATAGGAATGTGTATATATGTGAAATTAATAAAGAGTTAAGAGGTGAAAAATAGAAATAGACTTAGCTAAGTCGAGTTGAAAGGTCAAAATAACAATGAAGATCAGTGACTAAACCAAATAACAGAGGTAATAAATAGTACATCTATCCTGATAACAATCAATACACAGTTTACCGAGGAAGGCTTAATTAATGTGATGACGAATTATTGCTTTGAACGCAAAAAGATGGTTTAAACATCCTAAATGCCAGTTAGGGCTTCCACAAACCACAGGATATACACCCTTCCCCAAACACTTTCTATAGGTAGGTTTAAAAGACGTATGTAAACATCAATTTTATGTCCTGTCTGCACAATATGTTTCGCAATAGAAGAGCTAGGTCTCCTGTTCTCACCACTAATAGGTGCTGGGGATTTTCTTCTATTTGCTTCTGGAGCAATTTAGTAACATGCTTTGGAGCCCTTACTTCCAGAGATCGATGAGTGGATTTAATTATAGGTTAACTGATGGATGGTGACTAGCAGTGGAATCGAGGATAATGCGCATTTTGTCTTATTTGGGACTGGCTTGTTAGCCAGTAGATGTACCTGCATTACCTAGTGAGCCAGTGATGGTGTTCCTCCCACCAAAGGCCGAACCCAGTGCCCATATCTCCAAAAGCCAAAGCGCGATCCACTAGACCACTTCAGCCACGAGAGCCATTCCGCCTCTTGTGCAACTGGTCTTAATAATTATTAAATTGAATTTAGATTTTCCCATTGATTGATTGGATTGAAGTGCTAAGCCTCAGGTGACGGTGCCAGAAGACGAGTACCAAAGAGGACGAAATATGCCTCCTGAATTCCACTACTAGTCATCATCCCTCAGTTAACTTCTGATGATATTAGGTGATTTTGGAGGCAATCGGCAGGAAGCCGTCGACCTAAATTTCGTGTTAGTTGGCTGGTACTCACGAGTCAGAAAGAAAGGCGCATTTCCAACCGTACTGAAGGAACGCATACCCCTTCTGACATTTGAACCCGCGTCACTCAGTGCTGCAGTCAGAGACGCTACCACTGAGCTATTCGGGATCGCGATCGATCTCCCTGTAGGACTGTATTGGATACTATGATTGTACACTAGTAACTAGTGTTAAGTGTCTATTCCTTTCTTTGTTTCGGGTTCAAATCTCAGTAAGGACATGAGTTCCTTCAAAGTAGTTGCAGATACACCTTGCTGACCGTTGAGTACCAACTAGCACGAAAGCTCGGTCAGATGGGGCTTCCTGTGGCCGACTGCCTCCAACCATCTAATATCATCAAATCACTGTGCACCTTGATGGCGAGCTACCTGGTGGCATGGTGGCCACTCTGCAGTTCTGACTGATAGATAAGAGGACTAGACACATCACACTAGTTACTAGTATCAAATCAAAGTACCATTTAACTTCGAAATTGATAATAACTGATAAATATGTCACTGTCTAATCTTCTAACTTTTAGAGATATCAATTCTTTTTCCAATTAAATGACCTAAGTGCCCACCAGGATGAAGATCCCAGATAAGACTGACTGTGTCTAATAGGACGTCAATCCTCATGAGTTTCGCCGACAATGCACCCAAAAACCTTTATGAAGAAGTTAGAAACAACTGGTAATATAATAGAATGAGTAATACTGAGGTCGGGCAGGCGTCGAGTGCTAGATAGGGAGGGAAAATATAAGTCGATGAGATTGTGAAGCAATCGCCTTCCTCGGCAGGCGATGCCAGCCGACTGACATAGAATCAAGTTGGAGAAGAGTTAGTGGTGATCGAATTAAAACTTAGAATCAGTCCATTAAGTCTTCATCAGTCAGTATGAGCCTTATAGAGTGTTGCAGCCCTCCTAGTTGGGGTCATCGGGATTCTAAGAACCAATGAAGGCTGAAAGACAATTGCTGAAACGGCTCAAAGTTCTTCTCAAAAGTGCAGATGTAATCACTTTTTGTGATCTATTATTAATCTCTATTATCTTCCCATGTTACTATTGTTTCTCCTCACACTTTTCTGCTTATGATCGATCGTTTGAAGTTCTTGTTTTTATCTTTTGTGTGCTACATGGAATGTGGCATGTGTTCTATGTTGAAATCAGTCAGTCAATCAGTCAGCCAGTCAGTATTAGTAAACAATTAAAACAAGATTGTTTTATATTTAACCCACTTCTTCTTCTAATGCTTTAATTCTTAACTCAGAATTATCCAACATTTTGTAGAGCTCTAAACGTTCATTATCTGCAATCGCTGTCCGAAAATTCTCGTTTTCCTGTAAATGTAAGAGAAAATAACGAAGAATAATGAACTTCATGAATAATCAAATCATATATATATATATATATCCACTTGGTCCGGGGTTCGACCCCCGGCCGGCGCACTCCTTTACCTCACTGAGCCAGAAATAATCCTGGTAAAGAGGAAAGGTCGGGCATGAGGCTAGCAACCCCATCCTGTAAAAATTAAACACTGCTACAGAAACTTCAAGCCACTAGCTTGGAGCCCTATGTTCCACTGGGAACGTGAAGGAAAAATTATTATTTATATATACATATATATATATACATTAAGTAGTTTAGCTGAATTTCTAAGGCCTATCAAACTCAGTTAAATCCCCTACAACGCCCAGAAATTAATAGAACGCTGGTCTTAGTAGAAAGTAAATCCGGAAATTACTTAAATTTCACAAGATTTTATGCCACTATAAGCCTTTTATGGTTACAGAATTTCATCATTAGCTGATATCCGTTAGAGAACCATTGAAAAACCGTTACTGGAGTACTGGACAGCCAGCTGTTTCGTAAACCTAATTTACGACTCTTCATCAGTACGCACCCACCCCACTGTCAGGTTTCGAACCCAGGACCTTCTGGTTAGAAGGTGAGCTAGCTTGTGAACCATTAAGCCACTGGGACCTGATCCAATGCCCAGTTCATGTATTCTAACTTCTGCCAATTCAAATGAATATGAATGAGATGCTCACTAGCAGTGACCGGCCCTATTCGGTAGGTAGTTACCTACACCTCTAGTGGGAAGTCGTGACCAGTAGGCTTCAGTAAGTCGTATGTGAGGACAAATACTCGCTGAAGATATTGGCCAGCGTTCGCGCTTTGTCGTGAATTCGCAGAAATTGGAATTCATGGACTGGCTATTGGATTAAGTCCCAGAGGCTGCTTGAATGGTCTACAATCTAGCTTGCCTTGTAACCAGAACGTCCTGAGTGCGTACTGATGCAGAGTCGCAGAGTAGGCTGACGAGACAGCTAGCCGTCCTGTACTTCCAGGTGGTTTTCCGCTAATCCTATAACTCATTTCACTTCATGATGAAATCCTGAAACCAATCAAATCCCTACAAACCAACATTTGAATAACATGTTTTTATTTGATTGTTATAAATGTAACGCATTGTTTTGAATATTACGTTGGTTAGCGTGGATTCATTGATTGGGAACTAATTTGAAGGGGATTTACTCCTTCTATGGTGTTGAAAATGTATATGACAAAGCCTCCCAGTGTCATACAGTAATATTTATTGATGACTATTAGAATACAAAAGGCATATTACCTTTTAAGACCAACAGTTGATTTTAGAAATACGCCTAGTTATGAATTATCAAAACATTTAGCTCTAATATTATATCCCCTCAAAAAAATATCGTTCAAACTTGAGGTTGAGTAACTCATACGAAACGAAAAAAAAAACTAAATGACATTCAATTAGAGAATAATGAAAAAGTTTTCTCAGAGACTGTATGAATAATCATGAATATCCCAAGTGGTATTGGAAAGCTCTACGTCGCAATCACATTTATCCGAACTCGAAATCCCTCAAGCGTCATACCCTGAACCATATTGATTCCATTATATCACGTGTGCCAGAACTCGAGAGGAACATAGCGCAACGTTCCTCTGCGTTACACGAATTGTCTAGTGATGAACGACAAGCATTTACCGACTATGTCACTCTGGTTACGGAGAAGCGTACACAAGCCATCCATTCTAACTTATTGAAAAGTCTCAAAGCTACAGAAACACGACGCAAGTTTCCAGAAGATCCCAGCAAATTTGTATTCAATTATTCTTCAGTAACGTTATCTCCCATACAATTGGAGGCCTTGTCTCTCGGACCAAGATTTTGCGACATGAACTCAAACATAAGCAAGCTCAATACTTATGTCGAGTTTGAAAATTTGATCAATCAGACTACTGATCTTGTCCCAGCTTCCGAAGAAGAATTCAAACATTTTAAGTCTACTATTCTAGACTCCTGTCAACAGTATCTCAATACAAAGTCCAAGTTCAACAATCTCTTGACCAAAGAGCATAGAGAACAACTCAACCAACTGAGACAGAACAAAGAATTGCTTATCACACGCCCTGACAAAGGTACAGGTATAGTCTTAATGGATAGAAAAGATTATATTGATAAAATGGTGGCGATTCTCTCAGATAACAACAAGTTCTCAGTATGCGAGAAAGAGAAAGACAAAACCGAGGCAACGGAAAAACAGCTAACTGAGATCTTGAGAAAGCTAAAAACTGATCAAGTTATCTCTGAAAATGTCTTCGAGAGCATTCGACCGACAGGTTCAATAATACCCCGACTATACGGATTGCCAAAAACTCATAAACAAGGTCTTCCACTGCGCCCTATTTTGGACATGTCGGGATCTCCGTATCATCCAATAGCGAAATGGCTAGCAGAACTCCTACAACCTGTTAGAGAACGAATTTCAAAACATTCTCTTCGAGATACTTTTGAATTCATCGATTGTATCAAAGATGTTAAAGTGGGAGACAAACGTATGATTTCACTCGACGTCGAGTCTCTCTTTACAAACGTCCCTATCACTGAGACGATTTGTTTTCTATGCAAATACTTGGAAGAAAACAACCTGAATATTGGAATACCTACCACCAAGCTAAAAGAACTCCTACTCAGATGTACCCTAAATGTCCAGTTCACATTCAATGGGAACCTCTATAGACAACAAGATGGCGTGGCGATGGGATCACCTTTGGGTCCGGTGTTGGCTGATATTTTCATGGCAAGTTTGGAAAATGGTCCGCTGAAAGCAACCATCGACAAATTCTTCTTATACAAAAGGTATGTTGATGATACTTTCGTCATCTGCGATAACAATTGTGATCAAAATATGGTTCTTCAAGTGTTCAATAGTTGCCACCCCGCCATCAAATTTACAATCGAAGTAGAAACCAAAGAGACAATCTCCTTTCTGGACGTTCGTTTAAGTAAGAAGACCGATGGTACCTTGAACAGATCAGTACACAGAAAACCTACATGGAACGGTCAGTTGACAAACTTCTACAGTTGGGTACCAATTAGTCGCAAGCGAAACTTGATAATATCTCTGGCGACTAGAATCCGAAAAATCTGCAGTCCTGAATCAATAGAGGAAGAGATCGCCCTCTTAAGGAAGACACTGCTCGAGAATGGCTACCCACCCCGTTTTATAGACAAGCATATTAAGCCTAAGACTTACAAAGAACAACCCACTACAGTGCAGAAGAAGATGGTCTACATGAATGTACCCTTCAAAGGTGACCTTCTGGCTGACACCTTGAAGAAGAGGATATCTACTGCTCTAAGAAGGACATTCTTCGCTGCCACACTACGACTGACATTTTCCTCCCGGCCATTGTTCTTCAACTACTCTAAAGATAAACTATCGCATTTGACCACTTCCATGTGTATCTACCAATTCACCTGCTCTTGCGGAGCGAGGTATATAGGTCGTTCGATGCGAGTTTTATCTAAAAGAGTTCAAGAACACTATCCCGCCTGGCTACGGAAAGGTAACAATGGAGCAATAAGGAGCGCCATTATTGAGCATATACTTAACACTGGTCATTCGATTTGCAAGGAGAAGTCATTCAAAGTCATCTATAAAGTCAAAAGAAGCCTTCCAAAATCGACAAGCTTCCGTATACTTTGTATTGCCGAAGCCTTAGCGATTTGGATAGAAAAGCCTGAATTATGCACACAGAAGAAACTTCTCCACCCCCTCCTACTACCGTGGGTTTAATTTCAAGTTCATCTGTCATCAACATTTTGTTATCAAATTTTTTGGCAATATTCGTATAATAATTTTTAGTAACTAACCCATTCAATCTTTTCACCTATTATCTAGTTTATTTTCATAATTGTCTCCATACTCCTTCACGAACATCTAATCTTTCTAAACATGTCTATATTACGTAACCCTACTCACATCTTACCAATTTTCACCCCACTTAGTTACAACTTTGATTACTATTCCCACAATTTAATTTCTTTATTATTTTGATGATGTAATCAACAACCCACACTAACTGTTATTTTGATTTTGATTTTGACAAACCTTATGTACACACACACTCACAAAATTAATTGTATATATTTGCGACTGTACAGCTAAGAGAATGAATTCGCCAAAAAGAGACTCTTCGCTGAACTAATTTGTTCTTATTTCAATAATGAAAAATGCTTAGTTTTGATATAACTAGTCTTTATACTAATATACCAATCAATATGGCCTTAGAAGCAGTTAAAAAAGAACTAACTGCGGATCCTGAACTCAATCATAGGACAAAGCTGCCCATTGAACAAATTATTTTAAGGATTGAGTTATGCCTCACATCTACTATCTTCAAATTCCATGGTAAAATATATAGACAAACAGGTGCAGCGATGGGATGCATCACGAATATACCTAATCGTAACAAATATATTTATGGATAGCTGGGAAAATACTGCTCTTAATACATTTAATCCTACTCCGAAAATGTGCTGGAGATATGTGGATGACACTTTCATTCACAGTGTTAAAAACAGAATATATCTCTAGCTTCTTGACACACATAAACTCACTAGTGGAGGGAATAAAATTCACATTTCAATCGAAAAATGAACAAGGAGAATTAGCTAGCTATGTAAGATTATAAAATAAAACGAATAGAAGAAAGTAAAAACTGTACACTAGCGTCCACAAAAAGCCAACACATTCTAATGGGTATTAAGACTTTAATTCATCTTATCCGTTATCTGTAAAGACAGCCGGTTTAGTTAAGTATCTAACAAACCGAGCAATAGCACTAATTAGTACATCAAAAAACCCAAATGATGAAATGAAACAGACAGAAGAATCTCATTAGGAATATCAGCAAAGGTGAAACGCAACACAAAGATAATGAGGAAGCTAATAACGATAACCTAATTAGGAAAGAATATAAAGAGAAGACATCTGAGGTTCTATGTAGGATTCTTAATAAAGCAGGAATTAGGGTGGCATTCAAGCGTACAAACTCACTCAGCTAGGACAAGCTGTGTAGTTTAAAGGGCCCTAAAGGCTGATCTACTTAGACAAAATAATATTTATGTACAAAATACCTTGCAATGACCGTAAGTTAAGTCAGCTATATAGGTTAGACTAGTAGATCAGGAGTAGTCAGATTGTCAGAACATAAGAATTTAGCTCAGGTTGAAATGATTGATCTCACGAAGACAGATGAGTAGTTTAGATAAAAGCTCAGAAATTACACTTCATGCATTGACATACCACCACACAAAAGGGTGGAAGAGAGTTTAAATTCCAAAACGTAATATAGCTAGGTGAAGACAGATGGAGAAAATGATTACTGAATCTTCGTTCATAGAATCTACACCCAACGCGTGCAACAGGAATGACTCATCATCACTCATACCAGAAATGTGGAAAATACTACTACCAATCAAATCAAAAGATGAGAAATGGTGGAACGTTGTGTGAGCAACTTGATATGATTATGAGCTGCAGTAATAAACTGTGCTCGAAACGTGGTCATCAGTAAATATTACTGTATAACACTCTGTGAGACTTGGTCAAAATGAATTTTCTGTACAATGGAATTATACTCTACCACCACAGTGCACAAGTTCTTGTCTTATACACACACACACACATAGACACTCACAAGTATTCCAAAAAACCTCTCTAACTTAGCATTCCCATTATCAAAACACTTAACACTAATATTATGTCCCGTCAGAAATCGTTCAAACTCTAGGCTAATTAATTCATATGAAATGAAAAAGAAACTAAATGACATTCAATTAAAGAATAATGAAAAAATGATCAGTTTTGATAAAGCTAGTCTGTGCATCAATCTGTCTGTACACCAATCAATATGGCCTTAGAACCAGTTAAAAAAGAACTAACTGCACATCATGAACTCACTCATAGGACGAAGTTGCTCATTGGGGAAATTATCCTTGGAGTTCAGTTATGTTGCATTACGTTTAATATCTTGAAGTTCCAAGGGAAAATATATAAACAAACAGAAGGTGTAGCAATGGCGTGGATCATCGATATCCCCTATCTTAGTAGATATCTTTATGGACGGCTGAGGAAATATAACTCTTAATACATTTAATCCTACTCCGAAAATGTGCTGGAGATATGTGGATGACACTTTCATTCACAGTGTTAAAAACAGAATATATCTCTAGCTTCTTGACACACATAAACTCACTAGTGGAGGGAATAAAATTCACATTTTAATCGGAAAATGAACAAGGAGAATTAGCTATGTTGCATTGTAAAATAAAACGAATCGAGGAAGGTAAACTCCACACTAGTTTTTGTAGAAAACCAACGCATTCTAATGGATATTTAGACTTTAATTCATCTCGAATTGAATTTTTGATTTTCCCGTCGATTGTTTGGACCGAAGTGCTCGGTCTCAGGTTGACATGTCGGCTTCTTGTGCAGATGCTTCGACGATGTCTGGGCATTTAATTAGTATACAATTGGTGGATGGTGGCTAGCAGTGGAATCCAGGATGCGCATTTCGTCCTAATTGGGACTCGTCAGGTGGCTCTCGTGGCCCAAGTGGTCTAGTGGATAACGCTCTGGCGTTTGAAACTATGGGTACTGGGTTCGAGCTTCGGTGGGAACGTCATCACTCACTGAGAAATGCAGGTACATCCAGCTGACGAGTCCCAAATAGGACGAAATGCGCATCCTCGATTCCACTGCTAGCCACCATCCACCAATTTTAATTCATCTCATCCGTTATCTGTCTGTGAAGGCAGGCTTAGTTAAGTGTCTAACAAACCGAGCAACAGAACTAAGTAGTACATCAAAAAACCTAAATAATGAAATGAAACAGATAGAAGAAGCGGTGTTGGTGTTAAATAACTAACTACGCTATAAAATTCATTAGAAAGATCAGGAAAGGTCAAAAGCAAAATAAAAATAATGAGAAAACTAATAATGATAACCTAATCGAAAAAGAATATAAGCTATCTGATATGTTTCCATATAATATGTGTGTTTTGTTTGACAGTCGGTTATCTTTTACTATGTATACATGGATCGATATTCCATTATAATTAGCCAATCATGTTGAGACTGTTTATTGATTTGTTCATTTTGAATATTCGCTCACACACTTGTTCGAACATTCATATATTTTGCTCTCACACACTTGTGTGACATTTTGATTCTCCTTGTATTTGGAAAATAGAAGTATCATCGCAAACCTAGTGGTCTTTTGATTTCCGTCTTTCTTGCGTCAGGACTATTAAATTCTCAACCAGTCCATAACACTATCTACATTAGTTTATCCATATAAGAGGGGACATCCGAAACCCTCACTACGTAGGATTCTTAATAATGCAAGAATTAGGGTGGTGGCGTTCAAACCTCAGGTAGGGCAGGCTTTATAGGTTTAAGAACCCTGTGGGTTGACACAATTAGAGAAAATAATATAATTCACAAAGTACCCTGCAATGACTATGAGTGAGGTCAACTACATAGGTCAAACTAGTAAGTCGTGGGGTAGTCAGACTGTCGCAACATAAGAATTTAACTAGGGCTAGGATCACTGACGCTGCCAAGATTAGTACTTTAGAAGAAATCTCAACAATTGCACTGCATGGGTTATTACACACAACCACACTATAGGATGGGACAGAGTTAAAGTACTAAAAAGTAATATAGGTAGAGGGAGGGTGAGAGAGATTGATTACTGAATCTTTGTCCATAGAATCTACACCCACCATACTGCACAAGTTCTATTCTTATATATATACGCCCACATAGACACACACACACACAACTGTTCCAAAAACTCTCTCAAACTCAGCATTCCATTCCATCAGAATAATCCACTCACCATATGATCCAAACGTCTATTCTTATGCACTGCCTCCTCCATTAAACGACTTTGTTGTTCTTTTAACGCGTCAATCTCTTCACGATACCTCTGTTCAATACTTTGTTGATAATCATGACTGTCTTGTTGTTGTCTAGCCAAGTTACGTACAGTTCGATTCAATTCAGCTACAGTCCGACGTAAGGCATCATTTTCACTGGATAAATTTCTTAACACTGCTGATGTAGACAATTCATCATTTTGTGGTTGTATAATTGAAGTTTCAATCGGTTTATGATTTCCTATAGGCTCCAAGACTTCATTGTCTAATGGATTCAGGTGGACAGCATAATTGGACAAGTTTGCATTGACTACATGTTCTGTTTAGAAAGGCAAAGAAATCAGGGATGAAATACAAAAAAAAAATTAAAGACTGAAAATTTTCAATAATTTAAACATTCAAATCACTGAGTCATTAAGGAAATAAAAGACAAACTTTTTCACACCTGCACATGGATGTTACTCTATGGAGAATGTTCAGAATCTTAGGAGTATGCTCAACAATACAAGGTGGGACTTGTTTAATAAAGACTCTCTTGATGACACAATCTCTAATATTACAAGTTATCTCAAATTTTGTCTTGACACCTGTTGTCCCAGAGAAACGCTCTTCATCAGATATGACCGTTTCTCCTCCCTTCAAATTAGAAAATCTTCGCAGGCAAAAAGAAAAATTTTATAAAATGAAGGATAATACTGGTTTGAAAAGAATTAACATCCTAATAAAGTCTGAAATGCACAGGTTGAATTCAATTTACAACCAAAATTTTATATCCTGTAAACATGCGTCTAATATATGGAAACTTTTCAAAGAAATTACTGCTGGTAAGCAGATGAATAGTATTCCTTATTCCTTTGTTGTTTACACACTAAACAAGTCTTTCATATATTCTCCCACAAATGCCAAACTTTCTAATGTTACAAGTGTTAGGGAAACCTGCTTCCCTGGTTACAATACAAATGATGTTCTAAAATGTCTCCATTCTCTGAACCCTTCTTGTAACTTGGCTTCAAGCAGTTTGCCTAGTATTATTCCTAAAACGTGTGCAGATATCCTGTGTTATCCTCTCATGGACATATTTAATGAATCTTTTTTTCAGAAATGTCGTGCCAGCCGTTTTGAAGGACATTAAAATTGTACCTATGCCTAAGTCGTCTACTGGAACATGTTTTAAATTTAGACCTATTGCTATTACCTCCCCTTTTCTGAAAGCTACGGAAAAGTTACTCTTACTTAATCTTCAACCTTCACTTAAAGCCTTTAACAATTCCAAACAATTCGCTTATAAACACAGTAGAAGTACTTTAGATGCAGTTGCAGTCTTGTACCATAACATTGTCTCCAGCTAAGACAAGGGGGCTAAATTTGTTCGCTGCACCTCCCTAGATTACGCATCTGCTTTCGACTCAGTACCTAGGGACATTTTGTCAAACAAGCTTGCTGAAACTCAAACTGACTGTTGGGTTGTCAAATGGCTGCATTCTTATTTCTGAGGAAGAAAGCAGTACACTGTATGTCAGTCAGGGAAAGTCATCCACTTCGTTGCTTACTGAGGCTCAAGGCGCTATCCTTTCTCCTTTTCTGTTTTCTTTCTTCTTGCATGATTTGTCTGACTCTGATGATGAAATGAACTTTGTTAAGTATGCTGATGATCCAACTATTTCAGTGTATGTTAACTCCCAGCTTGACTGTACTAAGATGAACAGCTTTCTATCAGGAATTAGGAAATGGTCTTCGCCTAACGGCCTTAAACTAAATCCTTCCAAATGTCAGGCTGTTAATTTCAGTTTCCGATGTAAACGAAAGTTAAATGAAGCAGTTGTGGTTCCTATGACCGTCGCAAAGTTGATGATATTAATGATATAGAAACCAGGTTTGAAGTTAAGTATCTTGGATTAATTCTTTCTTCTGACCTACCTATCCTGGTCTTCTCATGTCTTAGCGATTTCTAAAAGAATATTTCGTCTGACTTTTTACATTAAGAAGTTAAGGCACTCAGGCATAACTCAACCCCTTCCCCTCCTCTTACAGTTTGTCAACTCGTGCATCTCACCTATTCTTCTTCACTGTTCACCCGTGCTTATTCTTTCCCCTGGATTGCTTTAAAAAGACTTCGTAGAACTCTGATGACTGTCAGTAGGCCGAGTGGTGGTATCCACTTGGGACATATCGTTGACATTGTCACGGATAGGCATTTGGTGTCATGCAACAAATTTGCTAAAGGAATTTTGTCAGACTGTGAGCATCCACACCAGCACCCCCAGCTCCAACCCTGTGTCTCCTCAGGTAAAACAAGAAGTCTTTTCAGTAGACTGTATGCACTTACGTCTAAACATAAAAATTCCACCATACCATCCATATTTGGCACGTACTTCATGTGATGAAAATGGTGTCAGGAATGAACTAACTAACTAACCTTCATTGAACTACTAAATAAACCATTCCCTCCACCCTTACAACATCAACCTTTATTGTTATTGTACTTCTTATATTTATAATCCTCTCAATTTTTTGTTTTTATTTATTTATTTTTCATAATTGTGAACATCAACAGAACATTAGATCCAATAATCTCTAACATGTTAAAGTTTCCAAACTGAATCGACAGTACTGTTTGAAACAAACTCACTATTATTATTAATATTATGATTATATTTAATAATCTCAATTCGTGCTTCGAATATTTTTGACTTTATATCGTAAACGTGGACAAATTCCTCTGGTTGATTTTGTTTTAATTTTTAATTTTATTTATATTTTAAGTAAATCAGATGCAATTTTGTGACAAATGCTGAGAATTCCATTCTGTATTATAAGTACTGTCGTTTTTGGAATAAAGTAGATTATTATTATTATTAACTGTTCAGAAGTGACTTTAGAAGTGAAAAATAAGAGCTGTAAATTACGTAATACTCAACGGCACAAAGTTAGAAATTTGATAAGGTTAAAAGTATTATTAAGAGATAAGAAAGGTGGTGGCAGTTGAGTGTCAATTTAACAAGTCTAAAGAGGGTGTGAAAATGTGCAAAAGGAACATGTGAGAGTGATAATAGTGAATTAATTAACTGAAGTAAAAGCAGACTAATCATTAAAAGTAATGAGGAGGTTAAGACGATGGTAGAATAAGAGATTGGACAAATTGTTTTCTGTATACAGAGTTCGGAGTTGTAATGACAAATTTCCAGGGTTTCCGCCATACACAAATGTCGAAATCTAACACTCTTTGTACAATTTAGCCTCACCTTATAGATAATCTTGAAAGACAACTCTGATGGAGCTGCATGGCCTGAGTTCACCAAGTACCACGAGAATTGAGCTAGTAATTGTCTTGCATTGTCCCTTTGCTAACCATGCCGGATAGTGTTCAGAAATGCTTTTGGAAAGTGTGCACTTTGTGCCGAGGCGGCCAGTATAACCAGCTCCACATGAACAGGTGAATTTATACACACACACACACATTGATATGGCCCAAAATGGTGGCAGTTTATCCTTCACACATCCATTGGTCATTTGTCGGCTGTAGAAATTGTCAATTATATCACCCACCCACCCCTGTATTACTCAACAATAGACTACTATACATTTTTGGTAAATATAAATACGACTGTAAATGCACTCTCTGAAGATGATTTCGTCGATAAAGAAAATTTTCTTCGCTGAATTCAAACATTGTTCTATCAAGCATTACTGAAACCCTCAAGCAAAACAAACATCCAAAGAACTTCATCAACAGAATCAACACAGACATTAAGTATGGCCGAAATTACGCATTACGAAAACATGAACCTCAACAGTTGTCATTCCATATAGACCATCAGAAACGTTAAACGATATCAGAAGAGTACTCAGTAAGCTCTATATCAGAGTATTTTTCAAAACATCAGACACACTACGAAACAATCTTGTCCATATAAAAGACCAAATCCCTAAAGATTCCCTATCTAATTGTGTCTATAAAATAAAATGCTTGGAATGTGATGCGATACGATATACATCGGACAAACACCGCCACATTTAGAATTCAAGGTAATCAGAAGAAATGAACACCGTAGAGCCACCTATGGTAGACCACTGAGGAATTCAGTTGAACTAGAAAATCTTGACAAATTATCAGCCATAGGTCATCTACACGCTACTCTATAGAATCAGGTCACAAAATTGATTCTATGTGTATCTACCAGTTTGACTGCAGCTGCGGAGCCAGCTACATCGGGCGAACAATTAGGCAGGTTCATCATCGTATTTCCGAACATCATCCGGCATGGTTAAGCAAGGGACAAACAAAATCTATTCGTAGCTCTATTTTAGCCCACCTTGTAGATAGTGAGCATAAGGTTGATGTTAATACTGCATTTAAAATTATTTATCGCATTCCTACTAATCTTAATTTTGCTTTACGAGTTCGTCTTCTACATACAGCTGAAGCAATAGGAATCCACCTGAAGAAGCCAAACTTGTGTGTCCAGAAGAAATTTGTACAGCCACTTTCCTTACCTTGACCATCGTTACATGACTGTATAAACCGGACTACTCCATCACCCTCCCCCTAGAATAATTTTTCTTTTTAAAAACTGTAATTGTCCAAATTATTTTATTTTTCTGACTACTTCATCTTTAATTACGTGTTATCCTTGTACAAATTATTTTATTCTTATGACCACTTCAACTTTAGTTACAAATTATCATTGTCCAAATTGTTTTATTTTCTTTAACAACCTGTTACGTAATCAACCTGTGAACACGCTTATTCCTTAATTGCTCTTCATTTTTCCAAAATTATGCATTATGCAATCCACGTGTTGTAACCATTTCCACCTTTTAATTATATATATTAATTTTTCCTCGTTAATTATCACCCCATTAACATTTTGACACCGACTAATTATTGTTAACAAACATATCGCCACTTGATTGGTAAATTGTTGTGTATTGTAATTAAAATGCTATATATATTAGAGTAGAGCCAGAGATGAGGATCTAATTGAAAAGTAAATATTTCTTCGCTCAATCTTTCTCTTTTCTAAAATTGATTCTGACAATATTGAAATAATCCAGAAAAAATCATTTCAGAAATCACAAAAAACGTCTAATATCATCAGAAGCACTTCATATCATCAGATGGTGGAATCCAAATCGTCTGAACTGAATATGATGAGGGACTAAAACAGAATTTCACCTGGTTACATAACCCCCACCGGTATCCCAGAAAACAACAAAATCAACACGAATGTGATAAGCAATTACATTATGTAAAAACACGTTGCTTTTGTATAATTTTACACATTTATCAAATCGAACAATCTACACCTGGTTTTGTTA